GAACGCCTTCGCGACTGAGCCGGAAACCTCACCTCTCTCGAGCATCTCCTGGATGTGCAAATCGAACACCTCCTTCGCCCTAGCGTCAGCTGATTCGCCGGAAGACTGGGATCTGAGGGCGGGAGGAGTCGATATCTCGATCCTCTCAGGAGCCCCACTAGCCCCGGCATGTCTTCCGGGGTCATCCACGGGACAATCATCAATCCTGGATGGTCTACTCGGGGTAGATCCCCTTCTCCGGCTATCGCCAGATCGAGGATCAATGTTGGATGCACGTGACTCGGGGGTGGAGTGGATGTGAACATCAGCGGGATCGGGCATCTCCTCATCCTGCGGAGTTGAATCCATTGGTGAGGGGCTAGCCCTCCTCGCCTTTGACCTATCGGTCTCAGCGGCGAGAGGTGGCGGTCTCTTTGCAGAAACACTACGTTCCCTGGCAGTCGAACCCCATTGAGGTGTGAACTCGTTGCTTGACCTCAGAGTTTCAAGATCACTGGTATCTCGCCCTAACGGGCTAGCGATCGACGGACGATCTTCGATCCCGAGTGCATCGGCAAGCCGACCATCTCTGGCACCTGTCCTAACAACATCGGCAGCCCGCTCAGTGATCCTCGGTGAACCAGTAACCCGGTTCGAGCTCACGGTGAACCAGTAACCCGGTTCGAGCTCACGTCTCTCTGACTCAACGGACCTCCAAATGTGATGTTGGGAAAGGGGGGAACATTCGGGGAATCACCAATAGCCGGGGGACCTACCGGTCCCTCGCGGTCATGAATGGCCTCCAATCCCCGAAGAACTTCCCGACTTTCCCTGGCTCTCTCTCTCTCGCTTCTGGCGTCCCTGTCAACACGAAGGTCCCTGACGGCTCCACGAGAGAGGCTCCTGGGCCTCGCAGCATCACGGATCCTAGCATTTCGTCGTGGTTGGTCCTCCTCCTCATCACGGCGATCCGCAAACGCGGCATACTCATCATCATCATCGACCTCAAACTTGGCAGCGGCGGGATTAGTCCTTGCAGTCTCACGGCTGCCTGCATCTCGGCGCGAATGGCTCTCCTCCTCATCCGCAAAATTGTAATCTTCGCCATCATAAGACTCAGATTTGGCAGTATTAGGGTTGGGCCTACCGGCATCAGACCCCTGCTTTGAGCTACTGCCCCAACCTGCGGTTGATCTCAACAGATCATCGTATCCGAAGTCCGTGAATTTCCGCTCCTCGTGCTCATCAAACTGACCTGGATTCTGAGAACCAGTGGATCGGCCCGGGATACCTCCCGGAACCAGAACCATAGTTCCTGGTCCCTGCGGCCTACTCTCAAACTCATCCGAGACCTGCGACTCACCTGGAACAAGAGATCTCGGAGGTCGAATCGGCATGGCCTCCGGGTCATCCGAATGAGGGCGGGCCATGTCCATCGCCATGCTGGTGAAGTCAAAATGTCCACGCCTGTGACCTGATTCAGAGCCACTCCTACCGGAGTAAACCCTTCGTGTCCGCTCGTCATCAGTGGCCTGGCGGAAAATACGATCGTCTCCATCGTCGGCGTACCTGCCACGGCCCCTGGGTGTATCCCTACCGGGATCTTCACCCCTGCGGTCCTGACCTGTCGAACCTGCTTCAAAATCCTCGTAGTCATAGTCCGGCAGGTCCTCACCTGAGCGGAGGCCACCTAGGATGGCCTCCTCATCCACGACGCTCCTGCGAGATCGTGGGGTCGACATAGAGCTTGTAGTTGATGGTCTCAAGCGCGTAGGAAAGTCCTACGGCTGATAACCTGTGATTCGGGCACGAGCCTGTGCCCAGGCAATGGGTAAGTTGGGGTAAACAAGCCACAAAAGAAAGGTTCCCCAAAAGCAAACCAATCCCCGGTCCCAAAGATCAGGGTTTCCCACACACCAGAGAACAACAACCAAAAGGAAAACAAACCAAACAAGAAAAGGGTTAACCCGCAACCTTGGTCGACAACAGGCCGCACGACTGGTCCCTACCAACCTGGCGGCGGCCCGAGGTCTCTTTCTCCCCCGAGATGCCGTCGGTCGACGCAGGGGTTCGGCGACGCCCATTCGAGGCGCGACGGAACCCAAAATCTTGAGCCAAACACCACAGGTCAGTCACTACCGCGACATCCCTGGTGATGAAATAAACCATGGCTAATCACACAAAGCAAAAGATGATGTTCTTTGACACTTGCTGATGTTTGAAAAACGGGTTTTCACACGGTTGGACTCCTGTGTGGTCCCATTTGACATTCTTTGCTTGCTGCATTTCGGTCCATGGCTGCAAGCTGAGCTCCCAGCTGCAAAGCTGACGACTCCCAGCCAACTTTTATCCAGGACTTCCTCGCGAGACCGCTTCTTCCCCCAAGAACCCCTCTGCAGTTTCTCTAGTGTGCCCCCAGTGTCGGAAACTGGCGCTTCACAGGCTGGTTGCGTTGCCCTGCCTGAAACCCAGAGGGGCCAGCTAAAATTCGCCGAGAGATCCCTGTGTCTCCAAGTGCCGGAGTTGAATGAATGCCGCTCCGGGCCTGCTTGTTGTGAACGGTGACCAAGATGTCAAAGGGCGCAAAAGCCAAAGGTAGTTCCTGTTCCAGCGCTGGGTCCCGACTGTGGCTGATTCTCTTGGCATGCCTCGGCTCTTGCGGGTTTCGCGGGCCGGCTCCAGCCTGAGCACATTCATCCCTCACAGTAAGCCAGGCTGCAGCTGGGACAGGAGGCACGCTAACAGCCATAGGACCATGGCCCCCATGGCCCCCATGGCCCAGGGAGGGCTTGGATTTGACAAACAACTGCCTCTGGAGAGCAGGCGGCGCGGCTTTCCGGGGTTCCGTCCGTCTCGTGTTGACAAATATTGAGCATGCATGTGCGAAGGCTGCCGAACGCCCCTAGATGACAAACAACGATCAGCACTGCAAAGGACAGCGTGCCAATAGGAATTTCCGTCAGAGGTGTCGATGAGGACGCGCTGCGGCCCAGTGCCAACCAGGTAGGTGTTTGTGCCTGAACCATGCATTTTCAAGCTTCCAGAACAGAGCCGCAGGGCGATGAGGCATGACACTTGGAATCAAGAAGCAGTATGCATCGGCCCGCCTTGCAGAGTGAGTTGGCCAGGGTTTTGCCCCAACACACGGATCACCTGACAAACCCTGGATCTAACAAAAACTACCCAACACATGCACTCTGGCCTGGGGAAGGACCCGCTCCACATCCTCAACAGATTCCGTCTGCTTCCAACTTCCTCCCAACAGTTTTGGGGCATCTTAACATACATAAAGCCAAAGCAAGGGCTCACCAATCGTGCGAGTTCTCAGGTTGAGCCCCTATCCTTTCAGCAGTTCGGTCGCATTCCAACCCAACTGCGGGTAAGCAACTGCCAGCTGGGGAAGATCTTCTGGCTGACCGAGGACCTCAAACCCAGCGAGTTGCAACATGTTTGAGCACCCAACCGTCTCAGAGCAGCGGGCACGTTGAAAAACCTTCTTCCCCCGGCGTCCCTGGCAAAATCCTACAAACCCCAAGTAGGCACAGCAAAGCTGGTCCCTCTCTCGAGGGCCTGATTAGCGCCGACCCGAGGAAAAAAGAAGAAAAAAAGGATGCTACATTCACACCTCATTCTGGGGACTGAGGATGCCAGGGCCGAATTTGGACAGGAATGTCAAAAGGGGGGTGTAACCACAACCATGGAGCGGGGAGCCGTAAAGCCACGGCAGATCGTGAAGGACAATCCACTCCAGGTGTAAGTTGGTCGGCCCAAGTGTTGGAGAGCAGAGCGCGCACTCCTAGGCAGAAAGCTCCATCAGGGTGGCCAAGCACGGCTACTTTTTGGCCAAGCGCTTGGAAGCCCCGGGCCCAGAAAAGACCGAGGCAATGGACACCGGGCCATCAGGGAAAGAGGGAGGTCCTTCAAAAAAAAACCTCGAATGCACCTGAAAAGGAAAAGGGGAGCCAAACCACACGAGAGACGGCTAACTCGAGGATCAAAGTCGTCCCCCGAAGTCTCACATGCCAGTCGGCCCTATGAAAGCTGAGTCTGACACCGTGAGCACTATCAACTCTGGCAGAGACAAACAAAGCCAGACACTGCCTGTTCCAAAACAGCCTGCCAAAGGTGACTCCGGCTTCCCGCTCTCAGCTTGGCGCTCCCAAAGCATGTCCCGCCTACCGGCCCACACACACACACACACATGCACACGCACACAAACACGAACACGACACACGACACACGACACACGACACACAACAGACGACAGACGACACACGACACGCGACACGCGACACACGACACACACACACACACACACACACACGACACACGACACACGACACGCGACACACGACACTCGACACTCGACACACGACACACGACACACGACACACGACACACGGCACACGATGCACACACACACACATAGCCGTATAGCCGCACATGGAATCTATTTTATCTCATCTGAGGCAGGCACCGCGTCAACAAGCCATATAGCTGTGGAAGACCTGCCGGCTACTGTATTCGAACCGGGGATGACCACTGCAATGGGGACAACGCGTGGCGTACTCAATTCCAGGCAGGCGTTTATTGCCTTCCACATGCTCCATGGTTCACACATCCTCTGGGGTTGTGGCGTAGTCTGGCCCATGGCGCAAAATGGCTGGAACAGGCAGCAATAAGTTTATGCGCCCAATGTCCGGCTGCAAGTTCACAATCGATCTGAAGGCTGCTGAAGCTACCAAATACTTCTGATGGTCGCCACAATGCGCGATAAAACGTTGCAAGCAAGGGCCCAGTTTACCAAGGCCACCAGCTCGGCGCGTTGAGCCAGCCTGTCTGCAATTTTCGCGGAGAATCGAAGAGAAGCAAAGTCAGCCAAGCTCGGCAGGCAGCGGTTCCTTCCAAGTCATTGTCCGTCTTTTTCTGGCTCAAGCTACACCAAGCCAAACAAAACTTCCCCATGTTTTAAGATTCCAAATCAAACTACAGCTGCAAGTGGGAGAACACATTTTTGCCGCGCAGTGACTGGTAGGCCTTTCTCAACTCTCTTGTGCGTCTCAGAAACCTTTCCAAGGAGGCAGCGGTGAGTTCTTGCAAAGCCTGGCCACGGCAGTTTCCGACTCCGACCCCAACCCTTGAAGGCTCAGAAGCGGCCGGCTTAGTGAGGTAAGAACCACATGAACCTGCATGCTCCACAAAAACCAGAAGGCAAAGCCTTTGCAGCTGGGGTCGCTTCAGAGCTCATGGCGCAAGCAAGCTCGAAGCTCTAAATCACGCGCCATCTTCAAAGCTTGGATGCCTACGAGGTGCGTTCAGGTTAGTGCCCGGCCTGGATGGCTTCCAATTTCCCTCGGCGCTCGCAGGCTGCAAGGACCGAATTTGCAGAGATCAGGTCCTCAGCACAGACCATGCAATGCCTCCAAGCGTGGTGGTCTTGAGTGGCAGGCACCTTCCAAGGACCTGCGCAGGCAGGGACGTGGCAGACCCCACTGTCACGTGGCAGCCAGTGGGGGCCGTGCAGGCATCTTTCTGTTTGCCTTTCTACTTGTAGCTCGGGCTTCGCAACGCCTGAGGGGCATAGAGAAGAGGAGGCCCAGAGCAGGATGCCATCGACTTGCTCTTTCCTGAGGAGCTGCAAAGCGGCAAAAGCCTGACTGAGGCGCGTGGCACCCATCAAACTTGAACAGTGCGCATTTGAGACGTATGAGTTAGCTGAATTCTAAACGTATGCCACTCGTGCTTCTTTGCCCCTCGTCCACTCGTCCACTCGTCCACTCGTCCACTCGTCCACTCGTCCACTCGTCCACTCGTCCACTCGTCCACTCGTCCACTCGTAAGTTCAGTCGCAATTATGCCCACCCGCGCTCCCACCTTATTTTCAACCATCTTAATTTCCGACGCTTGAATTCTGCTAATATATGAGGAGCTACCTCTGAGCCGCATGCACATGCTGCAAGCGCCGCATTCACGCTGGTGACCTCAAAGCCAAGACCGGATCAGCCCTGGCCTCCTTTCTGCGGCTCACTTCGTACCAAAAGAACGATATTCTGGCACACGTGGTTATCATTCTCGGCATGTCTTCCATTTGATCGAAAAAGGTTGCCCGACACACAGGACATGTGTCCTGCACAACGGCATCTAGAAACAAAGCCCTCCTGGGCAAAGCACACCTCATCCCTGTGCGCCAGGCACTGGGCTCCGCTGACCGCAGCCACATCTCCGACCTCCGCACCGCGACAGTCTACTGCGGCCTGCTGCTCCAACGGCCGCGCTGAGGCCCGGGGCAACAAGCCCAAAGCAGCAGCCCACTGGCCGGCCCTTAGCCAGACGAAGCTGGGTTCTGGATACCCATGCCTCTTGACACTCCCCATTGTAGCTCGAACACGGGCCTGAAAGCAAATTCCACACGCGAAAGACCCATTCTCAAACCGTACTGTACTACCCTTCAGCACTCAGCCTGCTCAAAGTGGCCAGGAAGCAACGACTTGGGCACAGGCCTTTCGCAAGCGCTGATGCCAGCACCTCGTGGGTGCAGGCCAAGTTGGGGCACGTGGAAGCAAAGGTGGCATTTCTGCAGGACGTCCCACCTCAAAAATTGCCTCACCGCCAAGGCCAACCACTCTGAGGCATGGCCAGCTTCAACACTGTGGTGAGATGACGCAAAGCCAAGGACCGGGCTGCAAGGGATCAGCTCCAGCTGCAGACCTGAGCTGAAGGCACGCTGTCCATGGCCGTGCACAGGTGGCTGAGAAGGCCGCTTGCGAGAGTCATCTCTGCGAACCTGGGCCCAAGCTTCCTGCCAACTCTTCCTGTGGTGCAGGCATGCCATTTGATGCAGCCTGTGGCCCAAAAACTGTGCAGCCAAAGAAATCCGAAACCCACGTTGAATCCAAAGGAACAGCCGCTGCTTTCCAACCACCGCGCTACCTGGCCCTGAGAGCAGGGCAACATGATGCCTAACAAAGCAACCTAGAGCTGACAGCCGGGAAAGGCCTGAATGGGGTAGCCCAGCTTGGCATGCCGAAGCCTTGTAAAGAGCCATCCGTGATTAAGGGCCTAGTACTTCCCAGTTGTGCATTCAAGATAAGGGGCGTGACAAATTGAGTTGGGCGGGGCTTTGTACCCTTGGCAGCCCGGCAGGACCAAGGCCTGGTTCCAGGTGGCGCTAGTCAGCGCGGCGCCTCAGGCGACTCGGTGCACGCAGCCTCGCCACGAATCGCGTGGCAAGTGCTGAGGATCTGAAACAAAGCTCTCTCAGCTGAGGCGGCAATGGCATGGCTATCTCACATCAAGTCTTGTCGTGATGTTGGCAAGTGCGGTTTGAGAGATGATAGCATCCCAGTGGCAAGACGAAGCCCAACATGGCTGGCGACCAGGCAGCTCAGAAACTCACTGGGACCCTGCCCGATTTTCGTCAGTTTCAGCGCGCCAGCGTTTGCAGAGTCGCTAGCCGCTGGCCGCAGGGTTCGGTTGCTCACACCATGCGCCGGCCGGACAGCCGGCCGGCCAATTGCCTTGTTTCGGCCGCATCTTGTACCGGAGCTGGGTGGTGCCCATGGCTTTGCCACAGGAACGCTACTGAGCTGCGGCGCCACAAGATGCCTTTGTGGCAAAACCGTTGTGAATGGCATCTCCAGCCGTCTGGACTGGTTGCAGGCGTTCCGCACTCACCCCACGCAAACAACCATAGCTGCTATGGCTTCTTGACCTGTGGCTAGCAAACGTGCGTCAGGCCTCTGGGGTCAAAGCAAAGCGCCTCTCACTGAGGACAGTCATGGTGGCGCTCCGACCAGAAGCAGCTCAGTCAAAGCACGCTGCAGGATGACCCCGGAAAGCATGTAGGTCAAGGTACACGCCCCCATGACACCTCGCAACGGCTGTTGCACAGCTTTGGCTCTGCACTCGTCCAGCCCTCTGGGAAAGCTTGCCCCGAGTAATTCAGCAAGGCACGGTCAAACTTAAGGCCCGCGCCTGTGACCAGCCAACAGCCACGACGCAGCAACGCCCAGGAGTATCCACTTGCCTGTGAGATGGACTCTCGTTCTCTCCCTCCGGATGCTCTCCAAATGAGTTCCGCAAAGCCTCTCCACCCTATCCCCCCCCCCCGTTTCGCATGACCTCCTCTTGGCGAAAAAAGAAGGGGAAAAAACAGAGCCTTCGCTAGCCGCCGCGCTCCGCGGAGGTTGCCCAGCAGCAGTGCTGCCCACACCTCACTGCCCGGAAAGTTAGCGTCTCGGCTAAACGAGAGGCTAGTCAAGCAAAAATGTGATGTATATATACATATATATATATACATATGTATATGTACGCTACTCAATAAAAAGATAGAAGAACCCGTCTGGAATATCCAGCATGATTTGGATCTCTCCTACGGCATGAGGCAGTCTGGTCTAAATGGCTGATAGCCTGTCACTCTCCTGTGATGCGGCAATTGCCAACCAAGGATGCTGTTTTGCATAAATGCAGTCTCCAGGCAAATGTTTTAAACACTGTGGCTTCGGCATCCTGGCAGTTTCTGGGCTGGAGGTCTAACGGGCTGTTGGTGACATAGTTGTGATCACAACACTCCTATTTACGAGGGTTGAACTGGCAGACTCGGCAAGCTAGAGTTTGGCAAGCGCAAGGCATCTGGCGCGTCTGGCTATGATAGGGTCACTAAAGCAACATTCAATGTGAAATGCCGTCTTGGAAAGTTGTTTTCGGAATTGAGATGGACATTCCCAGTGGGCCTGAGGGCGCCACTTCTCCTGGCAGTAGCTGAGCCCGCTGCATCATCTGGATTCACGAGGGCGCCGCCTGACAGCAGCCGCCCGATGACCTGAGGCATGGGCTTGGGTCAAAAATAGGCACATGGAACCCATGTCAAAGCATGGACCAAACCCTGCGGTCTGTTTGTTTCATTTGGAGACCCATACCCCCCTTGACGAGGAATGCACGGCAGCAAATCTATGACCCGGCCTCCGTGTGGCCGTGCAGCACTGCTGAGCGCAGAGGCGTGGGGCCCCACAACTTGTGGTTGGGATTTGCTCCGCCTCGGCCACACGGGTCCCGCTCAACGGACGGCGGGTCGGGCATTGCAACCGCAAGAGCCCGTGACTCCTGCGTCTAGCCATTTGGAAAAGAAAACCCAAGCCTATTGCTGAGCTGTCCAAAGTAGTCTGCTACATTTAGCAACCAAGCCGGGCCTTTAGCATCTTGGAATAGATTCCCATATTCATCATCCCAGGCAAACCGCGCCTGCCAGCAACCGGCTCACGGCCTCCGCGTGCCCTGCCCTCACCGCGGCGTGGAGCGGGCAATTCCGGTTGGAGCTGGCGTTTGCCACCTGCGCCTGGCCAGCTTGACCCATCAAGCTATGGCATGGTGAGTTGAAGATTTAGTCAAGCATTGATCAGGTGAGCTCCTTACGCTTCTTCTCCCCTTCATTCCCTTCCCTCTTCTAAGCTCATCTCCCAATGCTTTCATCTTCTGCCTCTTCGTTGGCTCCTTTCTTGACTCCTCTCGTTGATTCTATTTCCGCTCTTCGCTTGTTTTTGCCGCTCTGCTTCCAGCTCGTTTTTCCCTGCTCTTCTCCCCTCTATTTATGCCATGCTGGTGTTCTGTTCTTCTTCCCAAGTTGTTCATGATGCCGGATACCGCTTGGCCATGTAGGAGGAGGATGCATTGCGTTTGCCTGCCGGCATTTGCTGGTGTTCTTGATGCCTGATGAAGACCTCCATCTAAAATGACAGCGCCGTGATGTGATTGCATTTGATGCTCACTGAAGAGGAGAGTACGCCTGATTTGTGGATTCGCAGCGGAGTGAAAAGCTGGGAGACGAGCACGAGAGAAAGGAGAGGAGAGGAGAGCAGAGCAACATGAGGAGAAGAGCCGGCGAGAAAGCTCAGAGAGGAGAAATGAGCAAACGGAGAAGAGCAGGTGATAACCGGAAAAAGGGGGTGTTAAGGGGCTTCGAGAAAAGTCTGTGGGCAGAAGCGCAGGCAGAGAAAGAGAAAGAGAGTGAGAGCGAGCGACAGAGAGAGAAAGGGAGGGAGACGGGACTGAGACGGAGACGGAGACGGAGACGGAGACGGAGACGGAGACGGAAACGGAGACCGGCAAACAGCCAGCCAGCCAGCCAGCCAGCCAGCCAGACAGCCAGAGGAGAGGAGAGGAGAGGAGAGGAGAGAAGAGGAGAGGAGAGGATAGGAGAGGATAGGAGAGGAGAGGAGAGGAGAGGAGAGGAGAGGGGAGAGGAGAGGAGAGGAGGGAGGGAGGGGGTGCTGAGAAGCTGAGCCGGGAACGGGCAGAGAGTACAAGCGAGGGAAGCAATGCGGCGAGAAACGTAAGAATCAAGAAAAGGAGCGTGGATTGGTCAGCAAAAGTCCAAACTGCTTGGTCCAAAAGTCTGAAGTCCGCCGACATTGCTCGGCGTGTCGGATACCAAAGAGAGGACTATTGGATACCTAAGAGAGGATAGAGGATAACCCCCCCCTTAGTCCCCCCCCGGGACACGTCAAATACGCATGGCTTTTCGGTCCCCCCCCCCCCCTCCCCCCCTCCTACCGCGCGGCAATTTGATGACGTTCCACTAAACGTAGTCTTCGGGGAGCCGGTGTCGCAAAACAGGGGTCCCAGGCTCGATTCCCCCTGCCGGCTTTTTTGCTGGCTTGGGCTTCCTGCCGAAAATCTGGAAAACTCCATGTTTTTGGACGTCTTTCATACATTCATCCATTGCATTCATTTCATACATTACATTCATTACATTCCTTACATACATTACATACATACATACATACATACATACATACATACATACATACATACATACATACATACATACATACATACATACATACATACATACATACATACATACATACATACATACATACATACATACATACATACATACATACATACATACATACATACATACATACATACATACATACATACATACATACATACATACATACATACATTACATACATACACATACATACATACATATACATACATACATTACATTACATTACATTACATTACATTACATTACATTACATTACATTACATTACATTACATTACATTACATTACATTACATTACATTACATTACATTACATTACATTACATTACATTACATTACATTACATTACATACATTACATTACATTACATACATACATACATACATACATACATTACATACATACATACATTACATACATACATACATACATACATACATACATACATACATACATACATACATACATACATACATACATACATACATACATACATACATACATACATACATACATACATACATACATACATACATACATACATTACATACATACATACATACATTACATTACATTACATTACATACATTACATTACATTACATTACATTACATTACATACATACATTACATACATTACATTACATACATACATACATACATACATACATACATACATACATACATACATACGTACATTACATACATACATACATACATACATACATACATACATACATACATACATACATACATACATACATACATACATACATACATACATACACATTACATTACATTACATTACATTACATTACATTACATTACATTACATTACATTACATTACATTACATTACATTACATTACATTACATTACATTACATTACATTACATTACATTACATTACATTACATTACATTACATTACATTACATTACATTACATTACATTACATTACATTACATTACATTACATACATACATACATACATACATACATACATACATACATACATACATACATACATTACATTACATTACATTACATTACATTACATTACATTACATTACATTACATTACATTACATTACATTACATTACATTACATTACATTACATTACATTACATTACATTACATTACATTACATACATTACATTACATTACATTACATTACATTACATTACATACATACATTACATTACATTACATTACATTACATTACATTACATTACATTACATTACATTACATTACATTACATTACATTACATTACATTACATTACATTACATTACATTACATTACATTACATTACATTACATTACATTACATTACATTACATTACATTACATTACATTACATTACATTACATTACATTACATTACATTACATTACATTACATTACATTACATTACATTACATTACATTACATTACATACATTACATACATACATTACATTACATTACATTACATTACATTACATTACATTACATTACATTACATACATTACATACATACATACATACATACATACATACATACATACATACATACATACATACATACATACATACATACATACATACATACATACATACATACATACATACATACATACATACATACATACATACATACATACATACATACATACATACATACATACACATACATACATTACATACATACATACATACATACATACATACATACATACATTACATTACATTACATTACATTACATACATACATACATACATACATACATACATACATACATACATACATACATACATACATACATACATACATACATACATACATACATACATACATACATACATACATACATACATACATACATACATACATACATACATACATACATACATACATACATACATACATACATACATACATACATACATACATACATACATACATACATACATACATACATACATACATACATACATACATACATACATACATACATACATACATACATACATACATACATACATACATACATACATACATACATACATACATACATACATACATACATACAGACAGACAGACAGACAGACAGACAGACAGACAGACAGATAGACAGACAGACAGACAGACAGACAGACAGACACATATATGTATATATATATATGCATACATACATACCAAAGAGGGAGACTGGGCATGGAGAGGCTTGGGGGATGGGGAGGATGGGGAGCAGAGGGAGGGAGAGAGGACGACAGAACACACAAGGGAAACAAGGGAGAGAGGCAGAAGGAGAAAAGGGAGAGGACAATGTCGGCGGACTGAGCCGGAGGCTCTAAAGTCGAGGAACTCAGGGAGTGACCAACTCTACACAGGCTCGCACCCAAACGAAACAGACACCAGACACCACCCTGGAAAGGTGCACCACATGCACAACCAAGGATGGAAAGAAACACGAGCAGAACAGCGGGAAAGCGTAGGCAAAAGGGAGCAGAAGAACGGAACAAAACACAGGAAGCTTGCAACGACTGCAGGCACTAGCTACGATTGGCTTCAGGCAAAGGTCAGACCACGCCTGCTTTGCCAGCAGCCAGGCAATGACCTCCGAGTGGCCGCCCATAGCAGCCAGGTACAGCGGAGTTGATCCCCCAGTCATCTCCTTCCAAGCCGACCAACAAGATGGTTGGGTAAGGCAGCGAGACATGAGGTTCGAGCAGCAGAAGGGAGCCCGGAACGACTGTTTCCCAAAGCGCGTGATCAAGAGGCTCCCTGTGAGTTAACCGCAAACGTGATGTATTTTTGTGATTTTGGTCCTTGTGCACATCTGCCCGGCCAGCCAGCAGCCAAGCAACCGCCTCGGTATGGCCACTTTGGGCCGCCACGTGTAGAGGTGTGCCTCCGCTGCGGGTGGTCTCGTTGACCTCGGCCCTAGCCACCAGAAGTCGGGCCACCGATTCGGCGTGCCCATGCAGCGCCGCGTAGTGCAGAGCTGTGGCACCGTTCTCGGCTGGGATGTTGACAGAGGCCCCCTGGGCCAGCAAACGCACGATCACGTCGATGTGGCCACTCTGAGATGCTAGGAACAGCGGGGTGATGCCGTTTTCCATCACAGCATCCACCTCGGCGCTGCCTGCCAGAAGCCAGGCCACTGCTTCCGTGTGCCCGTTCTGGGCTGCCACGTGCAGTGCTGTGCCACCCTCCTCTCCAGACAAGTTCGCAGCCGCTCCGCCAGCCAACAGCCGGGCCACAGCGTCTGCGTGTTGACCCTGGGCAGCTATGTACCTGCGCTGACAAAAAGCACAGCGCAAGTACATGGTAAGAACACTTGCACCCAATCCAGCTGCTTTTGAGTGCGTTGGTCATTTTATTTGCCTCCGGTCAGGTGCATCATGTCACCTGCAAAACAGGGCGCCAATGCAGCCTTGGCACAGGGCCGTGGTTCCTCCTGGCGCCAGCTGATTCACCTCAGCGCGCGCTGCCAGCAAGCGTGCGATCGCCTCTGCGTGGCCATAGTGCGCCGCCATGTGTAGCGGCGCCACGCCACCCAAGGTGGTGCGGTTCACAGCGGCGCCGCCCGCGAGCAGACGCTGGATGTCTGCCACATTGCCGGAGGCAGCAGCAGAGTGCAAAGAGCCTCGCACCCCTTCTGGACGTATCCGATGGAACTGAGACTTGCCTTGGGATGCAGTCTGGGGAATACAACGGGTCCTCCTGGCAGCTGCTAGTTTAGGACTGGGCAAGGTAGGCATACAAAGAATATCCACAAAGCATACTAGTGCCTTGCAGCCTTGTGGCCGGATACAGGGTCCACCTCGAAGATGCCCTCCTCCAGCAGCGACTTGTTGCAAACGGGACATGCAGCTTTGACCCGAAACCACTTCCTCAGCTCAGGGAGGCTCGAACAACGTCTAAATATCAGGACATGTGCTGCTGTCAGGGATGTAACATGCACATGTCATCCTGTCTACTGCTCACACATGCGCCCCACTGGAAAGATTCCAAGCTTCCGAATGCATTCCCAGTGGAACACATGCACGCAGCCTGTCTCCAGCCCAGCACGAGACCGCCTTTCTTCGGCTAGGATCTCCTCAAGGCACACGGCACATATGACAGGCTCCATGGACCCATGGCAAAGCAAAGCCTGGGACGCGTGAGAACTCAAAACGCCCCTGATGCCCGTCTCGTCAAAAGGTATGCACACGGCACTCTTTGTTGGCTTGAGTCGGCTTGGAGGAAAGCCAGTAGTTCTTCAGCTACTCAAATCCTCATTCGGATATGGGCTGGGGCCAGTGAAACTTGTGACTGAACCTTCTGCGAGCCAAAATGCAACAATCGGCAAGCCATGGCTCCTGATCTTGCCCGAGTGCGTTCAAAAAACTCCTTCAGCTTGACAAGGAGGATATTAGATCAAGCGTTCTGCCCACAAGGATAGCCCTCATGTCCGCGTTGCTTCAAGTGCCCATTGCATTGCTGAGCTTCCTCATCCATTGCTACGCTTCCTTCTCGAATTTGAGGAACTTGCACTTGCCTGACTAAAACCTCACATTCATTTCCGTCCGAGCTTCACAGCCTGGATCCCGGTTGGGAAACCTCTCGTGCTGCCCCAGCCAAGGCGCTGAATGATATGACGTCCGCCGGTAGCTCCACCAGCACCCTGATCCGGTGTGGCACAAGCACGCCAAGCACATGCTAAAAAGGCCGTAACCAGCTCCAGCTCTCTTCTATTGATTGCCTTCTGTTTGTACTTTTTGCACTGTTACCCACAAAACACACACAAACAAACAAAAAACATGAGGTCGAGATAAGTGTTATTTAGCTAAACATGGCCCAGCATTGCCGAAAGCTGGGCTTTCCGACACCCGCAGCGCCGCATATGCTTGCGCCCAGCCTCGACCAACAATCGAGTCTTAGATCATCGCTTGCACAGAGAGAGAGAGAGAGAGAGAGAGAGAGAGAGAGAGAGAGAGAGAGGGAGGGAGAAAAAACACATCGTTTGCATGACAGGCGGTGGCCTTTTGCACTGGAGCATGCGCTGATGGCCGCGCTGAAGCCCACCGTGGACGCCTCGCGGAGGCTTTCTCCACTTGGCAACGCCGACTCGAGCCGCCTGCTCCCCGACGCGAGCGCGGCGCAGGGCACCCAAAGCCTGGGCTTGCACTGGGCGGTTTAGGGCGGTGGTTTTTGCAGGGACCCGTTGCTCGTTGGGGTTTCAAGGGAAATCACAAGGAAAACCGGGCTCGTGTTGTGCGCAATCAAACGAACAGGTAAACACCACCTCTGACACGCATAAAGACCTGGCCAACAGGCTGGACTCGCAAGAGTAATCCCGGCCTGCTCCCAAAGCGAAGCGCGATCGAAAGAGCTGGCCAAAGCGTTGAAGGTGTAGGAGTCCGGCCTGGCATCTGTGCCCCTCTCAGCTTGCCCAAATTCAGGTAGGTTTATCCAACCCACTGCACAGCCCCGAGCCTGGTCCCAGTTTCAGACATTTGGGTCAGGAGGCCTGCGCAACACCCGCCGTCAAGCAAACACTCTGCAATTTTTTGAAGTGCTCCCAAAACCAGTCGTCTCGTCGAAGCGCAAAATTGGAACACAATTCTTCCTTCAGCTTTGAGGAATTTTCGGCCTGCCTGTTTCACACACACCCAAGTTGCTCATCCCGACCCTTCACATCCCATGTCAGCTGCTGCATGCCAACTTGAGCTTTCTCCACCGCAGGAAGCCGGTATAAGCTCTTCCCACTTTTGGAGAAGGAGTCATAAGAGCGACCCTTGCCGAAACCAGCAGAAGGACAAGCCCAGGAGAACTCTCGTCCGGGCCAAAAACTCCGCTGGGGCCACAAGGGACCCTTGGCCGCAAGCACCGCTGCTTCGCAACTCGCTTCGGCGAAGATGGCGCCTACGGCACTGGTGCTTCCTCCTTTCACTGCAGCGTGTGCAGCATATGCAAATCATGTCACACAGGTTCAAGGAGCGGCCTGCATCTGCCGTGGCGCATGTGAGCTGCCCGCGACACTACCTTCACGTTGGCGTGCGTGCGCAAATCGAGCGGTGGCTGTCTTGGCCGCAACTAATGGTTGACAAATGGCTTAAGTGTCTCCGTTCTCGATGTGCTCCACTCGCTGAGCTTGATTAAATTCTCTTGAGAGGGCAGACACCTGCTAAGCGAAAATCAAGCTTTCCCAAGTCACGCTGGAACTGCGACCTCATAGGTAAGGTTGCCATCCTGGCCAGGACAGGTCTGGGCTACAGCATCCCTGCTGAAACCTCTGTTCCGACCGCAGCCATTAATAGCCTGTGACAGTTTAAGCCGCTGGATTTACTTTTTGCAGCGATGAAGATGTCATTCTTCAATATACTTGGAGAAACCAGGGAAGGCAGTCCTTATTCCAACAAAAACATCTCATGCCAAGGTGCCGCGTCAGCATCGACCTTGACCTACAAGCAAGCTCGGCAGTCAGATGCACCATGCCAGGAAGCAAACGGACCCTGGTTGCAGGACAAATATTAGGCTGAGAGTCCGTGTCACCGTCGGAGAACTCGCCACGCAGGCCCTTTTGCGCCAAGGGAGTCTCCAGATTGGCCACAATGGAGCGCTTGATGGGCCTTGCAACGTCTTTTTGAGAAGGACCCCAAAAAATTTGAGCCGCACTTCACCATTGTCAGCCTCATGGACCGGAAGACCATGCCCGCCTCTCAATGTCCATGGTTCTAAGCTTAGCCTTACCTCTCCACTTCCCGCCCCTGTCGCCTGGCTCCAAAGGTTGGGTCATAACCCCTCTGGGCGATGATGTCCAGGGCCTTAGCTGCAGCTCTGTAGCCAAGGCGACACGAGCGGAGCCAACGCCTTGCACTGAGCCAGGCGCGCCGTCGCTGATGTCCAGAGTGATGTTCCTGACCCGCGAATCAGGCGAATCCCGCGAGCGAAAGCAAACGAGGATGCCGGGATGCCAAGAGTGCCCCGTGCAAATCTGCTCACGCCGCTCCTGTCATCAAGCCGCTTCTGTACCCTGTCCAGCTGCAGCTTGGCAATCTGCCGAAGGTCTCCACGATCCAGCGGTCTGAAGATAATGCTCTCGTCGATCCTGGTGCTGCACGCTGTTGCAGGACAAGTAGGCTGAGAGCCCTGAGGAAGCTAACAACAGCATCAGTGTGGAAATGAAACCTGGAACATGCGGCATGGCCGTCACCTCTGCCCCCTGCCCCTGCTCAATTCACCCCAGGCTCCGGTTCAGGAACTCAGGGCGGAAGACATCAGCCATTGCCAGCTTCACGGCATTGGAAACCTTGGTCGGAGTCTCTTCGGGGCGGCCTGGAAGGACTCACTGCGATCTGGAGAGCCTTTGGCTGATCAAGGGGGAAGAAGCTTCCCGGAGGGCAAGTCGCAAAAAACCCAGGCATCACTCTCGGCCCCGTGCCCGCTGCCACTTCTCCTCCGCATCTCCGTCGCCAACCTCGGTGCGCACTCCTGGCTGCAAGGACGCAGGCTCCGTGACTGCTTTGCCAGAAACTGCCAGAAAACAGCCCCAAAGTCCCCGAGGCCAGCCCAGGAAACCTAGCAAATGCGACCCCCCAAAAAAAACACCCCCTCTTGCCAAGGTCTGCTGAATGGCTCAACCACAGGGGTTTTATCAGTGGAACCCTGTAGCCGATTCAAGCAGGCGCCTCAGGCCCCTGCGGCCAATTCCGCAATGGACTCGCTGCCAACGTTCGAGGTCATGATAATGACCTCACGCAGCTTCAGCCAACAAGGGGCCAAACCTCAACCGAAGCTTGAGTCAGGCCATGGCCATTGGCCACCCCGCAACTTGCCGGCCAATGAGCGTAAGCGGCTGGCTGTGTTTTTGAAGTCAACTGTCCTTCCTTGAGAATCTGTGCATCGACCATCGTCGAGAATCTGAAGCAGCAAGTTGAAGACCTTGGCTGGGAGAGCCCTTCTTCCTCGCCTAGCCGCGGGCAAGAGAGCATGAGGAGGGCGTCTGACGGGCCTTCTGACGTCCCAACAAACATCCGATGCTTGACAAAATGCAAGAACGCCGTGGCCAAGAAGCATCTGGGTGAGCTTTCCTCAGCTGGGCAAGAAAAAGCTTCGCAGACAGCACCAACAATTTCGATCACCAAACCGCCCCCAACATCACCTTGCACCCACCCACCCACCCACCTACCCCACCATCGACCTCAGACCTCACCAATGTCACACCACTCCTCCGAGCGGCTCCATCTCGTCAAAGAGCACAACGCAGTAGGGCCGCCGCCGCACCGGCTCCGTGAGCTGGCCACCCTCCTGGTAGCTGGCAAGTTGGCATTCGGCTTTTCAGCATTTCACTGCCCCGATGGTGGGCTGTAGAATTAATGCTGAACTTGTGCTTATTTCTTCGGGTGATGTTTGTGTTGTGTTGCTTTTCTGGAGGGCCAGCACGCCGCATTCTGTAACTTCTTCCAGCAAATTCAGGTGGGTTGAAAGTGGGTGGAGCGTTGGTTTGGTGTAGGTTGAGGTTGGGTTGGGTTTAAGGTAGGTTCAGAGCTTCGTCGAGATTGGTTTAGTTTCTGTTGGCAGGGGCCAGCTCAGGGTGCTTTTCGGGTGGATTTAGGGTTCGGTTTTGGGTTTAGGGGTTTAGGGTGGGCGTGTGTGGGTGTAGGTTCTTAGGGTTAGGCCTGCCGAGGCCGCTCAAAATCACGAGCCGCAAAAGCTACGAACATCCGCAAAAGCAATGGAAAGCCAGGATATCTCAGAGCGACATTACACCCATCAGCTCTGACGTGCCTCGTAGCCCACATAGCCTGGAGGCGCACCCGTCAGGCGGGACACGGCGAACTTCTCCATGTACTCCGACATGTCCTAAGCGCGCCCAAACTTCAACAGCTCCGTGCCTTCTGGAGCACGGCGTTGACTGAGGAGCCGGCCACCCGTATCAGGGCATCTTCTGAATCAAACCTGGCCATATGACAACTCAGCTGTAGAAGGAAGGCCTGTAAAAGATTGTTGCTCAACCTAAAGGTGCCTGAAAACGTCCCCTTTCGCCGGGCTTTCTTTCGCCTTTCCTTCGCGGCCCTCAGTTTTCCTTTCGCGGGGCCAAACTTTTGCGAAGCGGGTTTTCCAGCAACTGTTTCCTACTCAGCCGGAAGCGGCATGTTTGTTCTGGTCGAAGGGCTAGGCACCACTCTGGGAGCTCGCCCTTTCGTGTTCCTTTCGCAGATTTGTGAAACGCCGGGACCAGTCCGCAGACCAGATTGGTATCAAAGCTTGCTGGCAATGTCGGGAATGTCGGCTGTCCATGTTCATTATCATTGCAGTCCTTTCGCGTTCCTTTCGTCGGCCGTTCGCGATGCAGGGTGTTGCTTTCGCGCTAGAATGTCAGGACCACCCTTTGAATTCTGTTTTAAGACTTGTAATTCACGGCCACTATATGTACGCATGCATAGTCTTGGAGAAAGGCAGAATCAGTTTGCAGAAGTCTTCATTCTGTGCTTTACCTTTCTCAATCCAGGTCAAGTGGCAGCCAGTCGGCCAAGGACTTTGCCAGCTCCGTTTTACCTCAGACCGAGACAGAAACGACAGGCGTGCTGCCAAAACAAGCCCGCCGCCCTTGGCCCCTTTTCCTGGAAACCTCGCCCCCCGGCCCCGCCAGGATGCCGACGCCGGTGGGGCCCAGAAACAAGGCCGAGGCGATGGGACGGTTCGGGTCCGCCAGCCCAAAGCGGGATCGCTGGATCCTCAACCGCGGCGCGTTTCGGGTCCCAACGCGCGGACAAGCCGCCGCCCGTCCAGCGCTCAGAACCCCCAGAGCCCCCAGAGCCTGCGGCGCCATGTCGGAAGCCGAGGGGCGCCTGGGCCAGCGCGCTGACAGCTTGGTCTTGGCCGATGAGGCGCTCGTGAAGCTGATCCTGGCGCGTAGCTGCTAGCTTTACCCGCGCAGTCAATCGGAAACCAACGGAACCGCCCAAAGCCGAGACGCGGGTGATTGCTGTGGTGCATCCAACAAGGCTCCCAGCCCCTCCTCCAAATTCAATAGCCTCTGCCGGTCTCCCATCGACATCTTCTCCACGGGAATGCCTGCCACGCTCTGTTGGAACGGCTCTAATCAGAATCAAACTCGTAACTTGGCCCTGCCTGTCTGCATTGCCACGATTTCCTGGATATCCTGAGCGAACGTGGTCTGCACCAGGATATGCAGATTGACGTTTCTGCAAAAGCACGATCCCTTAAAAAGACCTCAAGCAACCAGGCAGCCCTTTCATTCACCAGCTCGGCGCTGTCATCCTCCGTGCTCGCTTGAGCCTCTGCCTCCTGGAATGCCATGTAATGATGTGACAAACATCACCCTTACAATCCAACTTCTAAATCAGTAATGCCGTGCCCCCGGTCTCTATATCGCAGCCGGGTGGGGGTCAGAAAGGCGTTTGCCAAATGACGTGCTGGTCTCATCTCGCCATGGTCGTCTTTCGGTTTGTCAGGGGATGACGCAAAACGGTCTCCTCCATCTGCTTTTGCAATGGCAGCAGC